TTTTCTAAGCATTTGCTTCTGTAAAGTTAGATGACTATATCGGCTTCCCTTGCAGGTACAGGGAACCAGGGAATATTGTCTTCTTATCTTGCAGACTCCATTTGCAGAAGTTTAAAGGGCCTATAGCTTTTAAAAACAATGTGGACACCCTTCATGTGCTGGTATGGAAATATCTCTAGGATATAGTGTTAAGTAAAAAATATATAAAGTCCAAGGCTCTGAGTATGTCATGCTACCCTTTGGTTAATACAGAGGGAAAATCTTTTTTAAAAACTTTATTTATTTAGAGAGAACAAGTGGAGTGAGGGCAGAGGGAGAGGGAGAGAAATCCTCAAGCAGACTCCCTGCTGAAGGAGGAGCAAGACATGAGAATCAATCCAAGGACCCTGAGATCATAACCTGAGCCAAAATCAATAGTTGAACCAACTGAACCACCCAGGTGTCCTGAAGGAGGAAAATTCTAATGTATTTATTTATCTTTCCTTAAAGAAAAGCCACTCTGGCAGCCCGGTGGCTCAGCGGTTTAATGCCACCTTCAGCCCAGGGGGTGATGTGATCCTGGAGTCCCAGGATCAAGTCCCGCATCAGGCTCCCTGCATGGATCCTGCTTCTCCCTCTGCCTGTGTCTCTGCCTCTCCCTCTCTCTCTGTGTGTCTCTCATGAATAAGTAATAAAAAATATATATATATATGTATATATATTATATATATATATATATATATATATATATATAAGAAAAGCCACTCAATTGCTTACTTGTGAGTAAAAGAATAGGTAGGAAAGAAGCTTCCCATTGCTATTCTTATATCATTTTGGTTTTGTACCATATGCATTCATTTCCTATTCAAAAAAATTTTTAGTTTTGGAGTGTCTGGGTTGCTTAGTTGGTTGAGCCTCCAACTTTTGATTCTGGCACAGGTCATGATCTCAAGGTCATGGGATTGAGCCCCTCTTGGGGACTACACTGGGCATGGAGCCTGCTTAACATTCTGCCCCTCCACTCACTTGCTGTCTCTAAAAAAAAAAAAAAAAAAAAAGTTTGCAAGATCAACTACATTGCTTAAAAAGACATAACTTTTCAATATTGTGAACCAGTGTTCCATTCGATCTTACTGAAATATCTATAGTGTGTCTGCTTTGAGTGAGATATTTTTAAAATTTGGGGGGATACAGCAGTGAGCAGTGAACAAAAAAAGACCTTTGCCCTCATGGAGCAATACCTGGAAAGGAAAACAGAAAATAAACAATAGTTATAATAAGTAAAGTATCAGAAGTTAATCAGTGATACATACACAAACATATACTTATTTGTAAATAATTTCAAAATTACAGAAAAGTTTCTAGACTAGCACCAAGAAACTGTATATCCTTCACACAAATTTACCACTTCCCATTTTTGTCACATTTTTTCGATCACTTTTTCCTTCCTATTATTCATCAATTTATATTTTCCTGAACCATTTAAGAGCTTCATACTTCATGTCTCATATTTTTTGTATTTTCTGAGAGCAAAGATATTATCTTACACAACCAGAGGACAATTTCTAATGTCATAGAATTTAACATTATTGGATCAAACACTAATTTAGGGTTGCTGTGAAGATTTTATCAATATGCTTAACACCTACAATTGATTGGCTTTAAACCAAGGATCTTATTTTTTTTAACATGGGTGGGCCTTATCCAATCAGTGAAAGGGCATTAAGGGTTTAAATAAGAGTTCTCTGAGAAAGAAATTCAGTGTCAAGACTACAGCATTAGCTTTCTCAGGAGACTTTCGAGCCCGTTAGCCTACCCTCTACCTTATGAATACGGTAAAATTTGCCATGCCTCACAATCACATAAGTGAATTTCTTGAAACAAATCTCAGATACATATTACACCTACATATGTATATGCAGTACACACACACATATATATATCATACATATAGTTATAAAAGATATGTACATGTATTTATAAAACTTACATATCTTACTAGTTCTCTGCAGAACTCTTAATACATTCTTCATTCCTTGATGTAATTAATAACTTATCACTATGAATCTCTCTCATCTTAGAAATATTAAATCTCAAAGGCTTTTTTTCTCTTAAGATTTTATTTATTCTTGAGAGACACAGAGAGAGAGGCAGAGACATAGGCAGAGGGAGAAGCAGGCTCCCCACAGGGAGCCTGATGTGGGACTAGATCCTAGACCCTGGGATCACAAACCTGAGCCAAAGGCAGATGCTCAACCACTGAGCCACCTATGTGCCCCAAGTGCATTTCTATACTCCCCAATTCCAGTGCTCAGTCTGTATGCATCCTGAAATCATCAAAGATGTATTTGATTCTCTTAGCTTCACAGTTATGAAAAAAAAATCACCAATGGTAACTTCTAAAATGTACCTCTGGGTGGACATTAGAACCCCTAATGTGAATTTGTTGGTTTCTTGACATAAACCAATTAACAAAGTCAGGCTGGTCCAGAGTTCATGCTCTGTCCATTCTCTTCAATGTACATTCATTCCTCTTAAGGTCTTACCTTATATCATGATTTGAAATAGCAGTATATGCCAACAATTCCCAAATATATGGGAGTGTCTATACAAAATAAACAAACCTTTTTTAAATTTTAAAGAGAAAGGAAGAGAGTTTTATTTAAGCTCAAATTAGGAGAGCTGTGGAATATATACAATCTTAACAACGAAAAAAATGCTCTGCGTAAAAAAACATTCAGTGCAGGGTTATATATGGCTTTTTGTGGGTTTTGTTTTTGTTTTTTTTTTTACATAAAAAGTTACAAATCAGGACACGTGGATGGCTCAGTTGGTTAAGTGTCTGCCTTTGGCTCATGTCCGCCATGATCCTAGGGTCCTGGGATGGAGCCCCACTTGGGGATCCCTGCTATGTGGGGAGTCTGCTTCTCCCTCCCCCTCTCCCCCTGCTTGTGCTCTCTCTCTTTCTCAAATAAAAATCTTTTAAAAGATTTATTTATTTATGATAGACATAGAGAGAGAGAGGCAGAAACACAGGAGGAGGGAGAAGCAGGCTCCATGCTGGGAGCCCAATGCGGGACTCGAGGATCGCGCCCTGGGCCAAAGGCAGGCGCCAAACCGCTGAGCCACCCAGGGATCCCCTCAAATAAAAATCTTTAAAAGAAGTTTCTTTTCTTTTTTTTTTAAATTTTTTATTTATTTATGATGGTCACACACAGAGAGAGAGGCACTCACTCTCTCACTGTGTGCCTATCATAAATAAATAAAAAAAAAAAAACAAATTATCATGGCCAAGGACATTCCAGAAAGTTATAGACTTTGTCTTATGTTCTTAGTATATGCTAAACTGTATAACTTTAATCTTATGGGAACCAGAGAGGGATTTTTTCCCCCTTTTCTTACCTTTATATTTGGAATGCTCCTTTTTAATTTTTTTTTATTTACTTATGATAGTCACAGAGAGAGAGAGAGAGAGAGAGAGAGAGAGAGAGGCAGAGACACAGGCAGAGGGAGAAGCAAGCTCCATGCACCGGGAGCCCGACGTGGGATTCGATCCCTGGTCTCCAGGATCGCGCCCTGGGCCAAAGGCAGGCGCCAAACCGCTGCGCCACCCAGGGATCCCGGAATGCTCCTTTTTAGTTATTTATTTTTTTCAACGAAGCAGATGTGCAATATATGCTTGGGGTAGAAATAGAGCCCATGCTTTGAGGTTTTGCCAAGTCATTTTGACCTTGGTAAATGTTAAAGTATAGCTTCCCTGGGAGCCCAAGAGCAGGGCCCACAAACATGAAAAGTTGAAAATTTCCTTTATTTTATCAAGGCTGAACTCTCTTCCAAAGTTCAGTCATTGGTTGAAATGCCTATGTAACACATGCCTTGTGGTCTCATTGCCATTTTTTTTTTTTTAAGATTTTATTTCTTTATTCATGAGAGAAAGAGAGGCAGAAACATAGGCAGAAGGAGCAGGCTCCCTGTGGGGAGCCCAATGCAGCACTTGAGTCCAGGACCCCCAGATCATGACCTGAGCCAAAGGCAGACGCTTAAATGAGCCACCCAGGCGCCCCTCATCAACATTTCAAATTGACACTGCTGGTAACCTGAGTCTTCGAGTTTCCCTCCAAGGTTCCTCTACCTGCTACTCCCTACGTCACAGAATGGCAAATATATTTTTTAGTAATCTGGGCCCATTACAAGAGAAAGAAGTTCATTCATTATATGAGAAAGGTCCTGAGCCAAAAAAAAAAAAAAAAAAAAAAAAAAAGGCCCAGGAGAGTGTGCCATTTGTGAAAGGGACCTCCTTGGGAGGATTTTTTTTTTTTTTCCTTTGGGAGGATTTTTAAACTACTTTTTTGTCTGCTCCCTGAGAAGAGGATCCGGGAAGGTGGCACCAAAAAGGGGAAGTCACCAGGCCAGCCTCGAGTGGAGGGCGAGTTCTGTTCTTTGTATTGATCTCCATCCTGATAAACATTCCTGCCTCCCGAGCCTGAATTTCCCCAGGCACAGAATGGAGGCTCTCGCTCCTCCCCACTGGTGCTAATGAATGGTGCCCACTATAAAAAGGCAGCTAGGGTTGCTCAGTTGCTTGTGCTCCTTCCCCGGAGAGGAAGACTCCCCCTGAAGACCCGCCTTGCGCTGTGAGTTACAGAGGAGGGAAACCACATTACCCAGAAGGCACCTGAGGCGGCGCAGGCCAACACAGCCCGGGGCAGGAGTGTTTCCTTCCGCGCACGTGGGCGGGACTTCCGAGTGTTTCCCTGCCGCCGCCATTTCCCTCAGCCGATCAAACTGGGACGGCCTTGACTTGCTGAGGACTGGGCTGGTACCGCTTCTTCGGCCTTTCGTGGGTAGCGAGCCGGCAAGAAGGCTAGGACTCGCCTTCGCGTTCTGTAGGCTCCGTGACCCTGTGTAGCTGGGGTGCCTCTCCCCGGCCGCTCGCCAGGCCACGGCCTCTGCAGCGCCCTCATCCCCGCGGTTGCCACGGGCGGCGTCCCGAGTCGCGGTGCCTGTTACCTCGGGGGCGCTGCCGCTGGACTGCCACCAGTCGCCAAGTCTCGGGGGCACGCGGAGCAGAGGTGGAGCTAGCAGCGACCCCGGCGCTTGACCCCAGGGCCCGCGATGGCGGCGCCGCCGACAGGCCAGGCGCAGGTAAGTGGACGTCGGTTTCAGGGTTGCTGCTGCTCTGCGAGGGCTGAGGCCGGCCTGCAGGGGCCTGGCGTCCAGACTTCCCGCGACGCGTCTCCGCAGTCGTGTGTTGTGGCGTGCGGGGCTGGCGTGCCACCTGACCGACCTCCACGCCTGTGAGGGGGTTGGTCTCTGATTGCTCAGTAAGTTGTGGGAATGAATGATGCTTCTGTCGTTCTTACAGTGAATTCCACCCCCTACCGCGACGCTGTTCCACCTGACCTCCAGCGGGCGACCTTGGGCGTCAGGGGGGACAGCTTTGCAGACACAGAGAAGTGCATGGACAGAGGCAGACGTCGGTGGTTGTTTAGGGGTCTGGGAGGGCTGAGAGGTTGCCCTGGGTCCTCTCAGCCGCGGAGACCCGTTGGAAGGGCGAGACCCTGCGGGTGGTTTGCAGGAGGCTCCACTCACCCTTAGCCAACAAACTTTGTGGTCAACTCCCGTATTATATGTAGCCTTTTGTGCTCCCCCTCCCTGAGGTATCCTGGCCTCAGGGGGAAGTGGTGTCAGAGCTCAGGAAGGAAAAAGATGCCAGTGGTTCATTGTGGCACCTCCCCTTAGCTTGGGAGACACAGGGGGCATCACTGCCTGCCATTTACCCAAGGAGCTGCCACCCCCTCAGATGCCTTACCTGTGAGGAGAGTGATGAGGGCGATGCTCCTCTGTCCATGTTCACAAATATCTTGGGAGTAGAGGGAAATTTTTTAAGAACAAAAACTAGGGTAGAAGCTTTATAAACTCCTTACTTTAATCACTCTGACTTTGGAGGAGTACCTCGATTACTCTAAGTCTGTGCTACTTTGCGCTAATCTAAATCTCACCTCTGGTTTGTAAGATGCAAGACTTTGGGTGAATTGGTGGAGCAACCTTAGCCTATCATTGACTAGTATGGAGGTGATGAAATGTTCACCTCACAGGCTGTGGAAGAAACAATGAAAATCCCAGAAAACGCAGAGCACTGAGTATTTTTTGTCTAAATCTCACAACTGTTATTGGTGAAGTGGGAACTATTATTGTATTGATCCAGAAACTGAGGCTCAGAGAAATGAAGTGATGTCTTCAAGGTAACACAGCTGGCAGAGTCGGGTTTCAAGAGTTTGGATGCAAGCCACAGGAGACTGACTTAAGAACTGAGGACTTGTAGTCCCTGTAACCAGGATGTGAAACCCTCAGCATGGGGCAGGCAGCTAGCAGGACCACTGAGGCTCAGGTACTGCTGTTGTTACTGATACCGTTACTATCATTATTCACTCACTCCTCTGATGTCCTAGAGCCCTTGCTGTCTGCATCTCCCAGTCCTCGCGTCATTTCCATTGTGTTGTGTGGCCTTCCAGTGGCTCCCAGGGAGGAGGCTCCTCCCATACGTTCCTATATTACATCCAGAGCATTGCCCACCTCCCCCTTGAGCCCTGCACAGAGTTTGGCCCTCAGGAGGTACTCGGTGATTCGAGCCTTGATCACTCTGCATCTTTACCAGGGATGTAGAGAGGAGCTGTGATCCCAGCCAACAGCCCCCAGGCCAACGCTGCTACCTCTGTTTGACTTTCCAGGTATCTGTGACCTTTGATGATGTGGCCGTGATATTTACCCAGGAGGAGTGGGGGCAGCTGGACCCGGCCCAGAGGACCCTGTACCAGGAGGTGATGCTGGAAAACTGTGGACTCCTGGTGTCTCTGGGTAAGTCCTCCCCACACCTCCTTGTCAGACCACCCTGTGGCTCCAGGCCTGGCTGGTCAAGAAGGCCTCTGGAGCCTTCCCCTGCCTCCTGCCTGCAGCTTCAGTCATTTTCTAGACTTACCTCTTTGTGCCTGCTCTCCTGTATCTCTTTGGGCAAGAAATGGTTCTTCTTTGGCTCCTAGAAAGTAATGGGAGGAAAGGGGGCTGTTGGCAGAAGCCAAAGCCAGGATTCCAGCTGGGCCCTCTGAGGGGCTGATAGAGGAACTAGGAACCACCATGATTAGGTCCTGGCTTCTGGTCTCTTGTCCTGGCTTCTCTCTCTGCTCACAGCACTGTACACAGAAAGGTCTTTTCTGCCTCATCAGGTTGTGCCAGGACTGGCCCCCAGATTCCTCGTTTCTGCATCTTTGCATGCTTGTTGTTCTCTTTCTCTGTCTGCTGCTGGGCTGTGTGGGGTGTCCTTGAGACAGGGATGGCCGCCCGAGCCGGTACTTGTCAGGACCTCCCACCCCAGTGCTTGGTACACACTGGCCTCCGTCTGAGGTTCTTATTTCACATTCCAGAGAGGGAGCTGACTGTGTGAGCCTGATTGGCTCAAGTGTCCTTAGCAGGGCTGTGAGTGATGGGATATTCTCCAAGAGGACAGTGAGTCAGGCAGGCCTCCAGAAGGCCTTTGCCTTCAGTGCCAACAGGTATTATTCTAAACAACGTGATCTCGGTTATGGTGCTTCTTTGTGTTCGTGTGCCTTCGTCATTGTCACTTGTTTCCAGGGCCAAGGTCCTCTGCCAGTGCAAGAGAAAGGTAGAGTACTACTTCCCAGCACTTGGCAGTTTTGCCCCCGGGACACATTTGGCAATGTTTGCAGCCACTTTGGGTTGTCCTGCCTGGAGGGTAGGTGGTGTTGGCATCTAGTGGTTAGAGTCCAAAGGTACCACACATATCCTTGGATGGACAAGACAGCCCCCTCACTGAAGAATTGTCCCCGCTGCAGAATCCAGAGTGCCGTAGTTGAGAAACACCAGCTTAGATGCTTCTCTGCTTGAAGATAATCACCACAAGGCCCTTCAGTTGGAGGGAAAGGAGGGCTGTAATTCCAGAGCTTCGGATGAGACCTGCCTATTTTGGGAGAAATAGAATCACGTCTGTCAGTGAGAAGAGAAAGAGCAAGATTAGAAAAGTTGGATAGGTTAGTATTTCGTAACAAAATGTTTAAGAATAAAGAGGCCCCTCTGTCTTCTCAGCAGAAGACCTCATCACTCACCTTCAGTGTTTTCCCTGGGCTCACTCTGCCCTGGCCATGCTGGGCGTCTAGTGATTTCCCCACACACGGACCAGCCTCTGGCCTCTGCTTGCTGTTGTGTCTGCCTGGTTGGTGTTCTTGGGCATTTCAGCCACTCAGAAGGTCGCCCCTTCTGTGTAAAATGAACACCTCGCCAGCTGTGTCCTGATCACCAGATCTTGTAGAGGCCCCTCCCCGATCCCTCTCACTTTCTCTCGTCATCCCGATTATAACTCTCTGTGCCCCTGGTTGTCATCCAGGGATGATGTCATCCCCCAGGGACACTGGGGCAATGTTGTCACAGGTGGGACAGAGGTGTGCCAGGCACCTAGTGGGTGGAGACCTGGAATGCTGCCAGACATCCTTAAAATGCTCAGGACAGTTTCCTCCCTGCTTTCCTAGCAAAGCATTATCTTGACCTAAGTAATCATGCCCATGTAACCCGAATAGTTACGCCAGGTTGAGAAACTTGTTTCAGAGAGGTAGGAACACTTCATCAACTGGCATTGAGGGACACCCTGACATAATCATTTCCTGCCTTCTGATTGTTTTTGATGACAAGTCTGGATTTAGTGCTGAACCTTCTTCACTCCTCCTTCCCTCCAATGGTTGGTACTTTTCCCTTTAAAACAGAGTAGCCTTGAGTTTGCAGCCCCGAATAGGCAGTATGCACTCACTGGGACTTAACATTTGTATTCCATTGCCGAGTTTTCGTGGTGACCTGCTACCAAAGGAAGTGACTCTACGTTTCCCATTTATTGGACTGATGCAAGATTTTCTTTGACGAAAATAAGAAAAATTAAATATGGGTCATGTTAGAAAGCAGTTCATAATCATCAGCACAGCTGAGATACCCTGAGCACTGACTAAGCAGGACTGTTTGGGCTTATTGGTGCTCTACTCATTTAAATTCCCACAGTATCCCACCTGTATGAGTTTGCACTTCTAAGATTTTAATTTGTAGAGATGACTTAGGGACAGGCAATACAGGGAGATTAATGCTAGTGTACGGTTTACATATTTGTATGTATGTCTTTAGCGTACGTACATATTTTGTGTGTGTACACACACGCACACGCTTGAGCACACCCGTACATACATGCCTGTGTATGTGTGGTAGTTGTATGTATAAGAAAAAAAATTTTTCCTCTACTTGGCAGCAGTTCTTGATATCAAAATCTTGTTTTCCACACCATGAGTTGTGACATAACTACCTGGAGTTAGCACAGATCCCACAGGTTGGGGCTCAGTCTCCTAGGACAGCACCTCCACAGATACCCCCGCACAATCCACTTCAGATGCCAGGTTGTCACCTGTCCTGCTCAACTGGCTGTAAATCAGAGATATGACCCCCTCCTCAGGGTTGATAATTTGCTAGGGTGGCTCACAAAACTTAAGAAAGCACTTCAGTATTATCTGTTAATGGGACGCCTGAGTGGCTCAGCGGTTGAGCATCTGCCTTCAGCTCAGGACATGATCCTCGGTCTGGGGATCGAGTTCCGCATCGGGCTCCCTGCAGCGAGTCTGCTTCTCCCTCTGCCTGTGTCTCTGCCTCTCTCTTCTCTGTGTGTGTGTCTCATGAATAAATAAGTAAAATCTTTAAAAAAAAAAAAAGCATATTCCCTGTTTATTTAAAGGATTAAATTCAGAAACAGCTAAATGCAAGAGATACAAAGGACAATGTATGTAGAACAGCACACTGAGTTTCCATGGCTTCTTGGCTTGTCACTCTTCTGCCATCTTGATGCGTTAACCAATCTGGCAACCCACTGAAGCACTTTACTTGGGGCTTCTTGTTAAAGCTCCTTACATGGGCCTGACTGATGAAATCATTGGCCATTGATGATTGAACTCCATCTCCAGCCCTTCTTGCCTCCACAGAGGTTAAGGGATAGAACAGATTTTCTAGCGTTCTAATCACATGATTGCTTTCCCTGGCCCCTCCTCCTCAGGAGTTTTTTAAAAGTCACCTCAGGAACAAAATAGAATTCCTAATGCAAGAAAGCAAAAAGGTCCTGTGTCTAATTTCGTCTTAGGAGAGGCCGTCCATGGACATCTGCTGGGGTGGAGTTGTCTTCACCATGAGGTGCCAGTGTGGGACCATGTTGTCTGGTTGTGTGACCATGGTATCCTTTGCAAGTTGATGGGGTCCTCAGCTTTTGCCATGTTTGGTTGAAACAGTGTGTTAATGTGAGGTGTGAGTTGGCCAAGAGGCTTCTTATTAAGGCAAGAGAGAGACCCATTTAGGGGTTTGTCATAATTGGAATTTGGAAGGAGTTATTTGAAGCAACCCTTATGTCTTTTACTTAAACCAGGTTTTAGAGGCATGTTTGGGGCATGAAAGTTCTGTGGAATATCTCTTCCCAGAGCCTAGCCTTGCATAATTCGAGAAGCGAAATGTGTGTGTCTTACAGTATTGTCTGCAACTCTGAAGGGAGTAAGGAATACAAGTGCCTTGTATTGTGGCCCTTTTATGTGTAGAGATTAGAGATGTGTGGTTTTGATTTTTGTTTGGGGTGTCTGTGAGACAAGAGAGTCTTAAGAGTTCTTTACCCCAAAGGAGACCATTTTTAGGCAGTGGCTCAACAGTTTATAATGAATTTGGAGATGGGACCATTTGTTCATCAGTGCTAAGATACCCCGCCCCCCCGAAGTTTGGCCAAGTAATGTTTCTTAGATCCATTTTTTATTTAGAACATTCTGGCTAAGAGATAGAAAGCAGCAGCATTCCATTGGTCTCTATCATGTGTGATGGATAGTGGCATCCTTCTTATGGTTCATGAACTCCTGTAACTGTTCTCTCTGTTAAACTCAAAGGGCTTTCCAGGTAGCCAAAGGGCCTGGAGGAGGGCTGGCCCTCTCCAACACCAAAGCATCTGGCAAGGGACAGAGGTTGGGAGAAGCTGCCACGTCCTACAAGTGGAGTTCTGCCAGAGGGCCCAGATTGGGTTCCATTCTGTCTTACAGAGTCCTCAGTAGCTGTGCTGAGCTCGTGCTGTTAACAATATTTTGAGTAGACCTTAGTCTTTGTTGGCAAGAACCCCATTTAAGGTGGACTGATTTGTAACTAACAGTACCAGTGAGATAAAATTTATAAACGAGCCCCCAAATAATACTAAGTGTAGTAGTATTAGTTGAAACTAAACTATCTCTAACATTAGTATTAGAGATGTTGGATTTGTATGTCCATAATGAATGTGTGGAATGAATTTCCTCGGACACGGTTGTCATCGATGTGCCGTCATAGCTGTGCTACTGGAGGAAGGTGGGTGCAGTGAAGATCTTGTCTGCAGAGATCATGTGCAGCGGCAGAGCTGTGGAGCCACGCTCACAGGCAGCCTGGGGAAGAAGTGTTCACCTTCGGGGTAGAGGCTGGCTGGCTGAGAAGTTGTCCAAACAGGTGCTGCACAGAACAGGGTCAGCCAGATCTGTAAGCCCAGAACAATCACCGGGTTGTTGATTGGATAATGTTATTGATTTATTCATATGGGGTATTGGGTGTGTGGATTGTGTGAATCAGCTCTGGCTGCTTAAACAACAGCTTTATTTTCACGTCATTCTGGAGACTGGAAGTCTCAGACCCAAGGTGCTGGCAGACAGATGATGATCTCTTCCTGGCTGCCACCTTTGTGCTGTGTCCTCACATGGCCTTTCCTCTGGCTTTTAAGGTCACCAGTCCTACACATCCCCGTGACCTCATTTAATGTTAATTACCTCCCTACAGGCCCTTTCTCCATGTGTGAGCACATAGTAATGACACCTAGGGGCAGGCACACTCAGTGCAGCAGGAGCCCTCCTGGATGGGCCACCCTGTTAAGATTGTTGGAACCCACCGTGAAGTGCTTTTATTGGCCCCGGGGTTAATAACAGACACAACTAGGCTGTCAAACGGAGAAGTGGTGTGGCAGTCATTCCTTTTTTGGTTAGCTTTTATGTGAAGTTTTACTCTCTGGAGTCTCTTTTCCAGCTTCCATTGGGCCTATCACTATCTTAACTGGTTTTTGTGGGTCCCGTTGTACCGAGTCCAATTAAGCACCAAAAATTTACTTAATTGTGTCAGAGCATCCTTGCCCAAAGTGGGGTATTTTAGGACAGTGGTACTCTCTGAGTAGTGGAAGTATAGGTGAGTCTATAGTTAGAGTGAGACATACCTATTTTTCCCCTGTATTTAGCTACTTTTTCAGTTTGGGCAGAGCAATATTTAAATTTAGCGGAATCTCCAGGTATAACTATGATTTGAGCCCCAGTTTTGATTAAATTTATGAAGTTTTGTCAGTTGGTACAATTTAGCAAATTCTGAAGTTAATTCAGAACCTGTATTGTGGAGTCAGAAAAGTCCGTCAGTGCCATGTTTTGTTTTGGTGATACAATTTTTTTTGGAATATAAGTTTTGTTATGCTGTACATAGTTATTATGTGTAATTTATCATATATGTTTTTAATATATAAATTTTGCATTTCCCATTGGGTCAAATTATAGACAGTGTTTTATTTTTTTTTGTATATTTTTTTATTGGAGTTACATTTGCCAACATACAGTATAGCACTCAGTGCTCATCCCGTCAAGTGCCCCCCTCAGTGCCCATCACCCAGTCATCCCATCCCCCTGCCCACGTCCCCTTCCACTACCCCTTGTTCGTTTCCCAGAGTTTAGGAGTCTCTCATGTTTTTATAGACAGTGTTTTAGTTCTATGTCTTACTTAGTTCTCTTTTATTTTTTCCTCTCTTTCTAGGAGTTTGTTTTTATTACTATTTTTAAGTCATTAAATAGTTTAGAATGAGTATTATATTTTCTAGACCCGGTATTTCTTTGGTACATAAGTTCTAAGGTAGACCCCCCTCCTTTTTCTCTTGGGGCTTTAGCTTCCTGAAGCCCCATACTGAATTTGTCTCCTGCTGGTGAGAGGAGTGGGCGAGGTCCTGGGGCCTCTGGGCAGCAGCTTCCCTGAGATGGGCCCTGGTCTACAGCATAATTGTTTTTGTCACCTCTCTTGTCTCTGGTCATTTTTCTTTTCTTTGGATATTTACCTGATAAGCTTCTTGCAGTCCCAGGGGCTGGAGCTTACCTCTAGGGCAGCGGTGGTGGTGGCATCAGTATCCTGATTGTGTCAGTTTGGTTTTAAGGAGGAGACGCGTGACATGCCAGTGGGCAGCAGCAGTCAGGAGTCCCCAAACTCATTGGCCAGGGGTTGTAAAGCCTGGAAACATCCTGAGGTATCTTAAGAGGGAGCAGGAGCAAGATATTCCATAACGTTTTTTCCTCCATTTTATATTGAACCCCGGGTCTCCACAAATGGGGTCTTTTATTCCTTGCTGGATTGAGAGTCAGACTACAACAGTTAGGTAAGCAACGAATGGGAGATTTGTCCTCGAAGCAATTTAAGCCTGTTGTGCCATGGCATCTGAGGAGGGTGCCCCACACTCTGTTGGCAGTAGGTCCCTTATATCACAGGGAGCATGACTCCTGATGGCTGAAGGGAGAGCTTACTCCCTTTCCACTGCCTTATCACCAGACCCTGTCCTGAGTGGGTAGCAGATGTGAGCGAGATTTGCTCAGTGACAACTGATAATCTTGGGCTATGGTTCAGGATCTTCCAGAGCAGCCTTCTGTGGGTCCTGGTGCCTCTACCCTAGACTCCTTACAGAGTGCTGTGTCGTCTTCCCCTGCATCTGTGTTTGGCTACATGTGACAGAGCAGCTCAGTCTTCATCCTGAAGGAAATTTACTATCTCACATTGGTGGGTGATAACCCAGCTGTGGGTTTCTTTACTTCCTCTCTGTGTTCTAGATCTTATAGGCAGGTTCCCTCACAAAAGTCCTGGGATGCTGCCAGACTACAGGAGCAGCAGATCCCCTTACTCAGCCATCCTGGAATAAAGCTTTCTAAAGTTGCACACCTCTAACTGTTGGTGATTGGGGAATGCCACTTGCAGGTTGGTAGAGACTGGTTTGTCAACCTTCCTTTAACGCCAGAATCATCTGGGGAGGTTTTAAAATCTACCGATATCCAGGCCTCGCCAGAAATTTCCTTTCAGTTGGACATGAACCCGACATCCCAGGAGATGTTGATGCACACATGGTTTGAGACTCACTTACCTGGGTTAATTAGAAAATATTTTCTGGGAGGGGAGGGGGTCATATTCCCTGGGATTCTGTGTGCTGGCAGTCAAAGGGAATAGGTGCTGTCTACACAGCCAGCACTACTGTCTAAAGTCTTTGAATCCCAACACTGGACTTTGTGCCTGTTTCTAGGTGATAAGTTAGTATTTTGTTTGTGTGGATGGGGGTAGCTTCATTCCCGGGTCATATCCACATTCTGAAATCCCAGACTAGATTGCGAGGTTTTATTTCTTTTTCACAAAAATCCTAGTGTCGTCTTTCTTTGTCTGTGAACAGGGTGTCCTGTTCCTAGACCTGAGCTGATCTACCAGCTGGAGCACGGGCAGGAGCTATGGATGGTGAAGAAAGACCTGTGTCAAAGTACCTATCCAGGTAGGAGCCAAGATGTGGGCAGATGGGAGACCCTGCAGGCTGGAGACTGGGAGGAGACCACCAGCCCTGGTCCCCTGGGAAGCTTCCTGTTCTGGCCTCTTTGGTGGTTTGGAAGCCATGGAGCCCTTTAACCCAGAGTCAGCGTGCCCAGTAAGGGACCATAATGTTGGTCGTTCCTTCCACCTCCCAAGTTTCAGTGAATGGTCCTGCCACTCAAGCAGGTTAGAGGCTGTATACAGCCTCAGAGAATTCCTTACACCTCCACCTCCCTCAGTCCCTCATCCAGCCATTCCCCAGATCCTGTCCGTTTCACATCCTGTACATCTCCTGAATGCATCAGTTGCACTACCTCCATCAGAGCCATCCCCATACTCGACCCACGCTCCCATCTTCTCTCTGGGGGATGCTGCTAGTCTCCTAACCTGTCTCTGCATCTGCTTGGTGCCTCTAGTCAGCTCTGTGTCCTGCATGAGCTAGCCCAGGTGCTCAGACTTTGTCCCAGATGCTTACCCAGTCATGGATGTCTCAGTATATGACCCTTAAGGTGTCAGCAGGTCTTTATGTTGAAAGCACAGTCCACCACCTCTATTGCTTGATCCTCCACCCCACCACCCTCATTCGGGCTCTCGTGTCTGCAGCTTCCCCTTCCATCTAGCGGGAGGGGTCTTGCTCCTGGCCCTGGCCAGTCCCTTAACCAGAGTCTGGAGCACACCTTTTCAGGAAAATGTTTTCTTCATTTATACTCTTATTTCTTGTGTAATGTAACTTCATCCTTTCTCCACTCAACCCGCATGCTCTTTATTGTAGGGATTTTTTTTGTATCTTCCTTATACTTAACTCATCAGTTAATAGGTGCTGCAGATATAATTTTCTACTTTTCAATATTGCTTTTTCACTACTTTAAAGTACGTTTTATTGAATAGAGGTCTTATTTCAGTGTAATTTATGCCATTTCTTATATAAATAATGATTTTGTCTTGTATAAAAATCTTGCTTTATCCCCGACTTCAAAAAGATACTCTTGACGGGATTCCTGGGTGGCTCAGAGGTTTAGCTCCTGTCTTTGGCCCATGGCACAATCCTAGAGTCCCAGGGTCAAAGCCTGCATCAGTTTCCTGCATGGAGCCTGCTTCTCCCTCTACCTGTGTCTCTTCCTGTTTCTCTCATTCATAAATGAATGAATGAATGAATGAATATTTAAAAACAAACCAAAAGATACTGTTGTTTATTTTATGCTAATAATTTTTAAACTTTTGTTGAGTAATGATCGACATACATGCAGGTTTCCCCAGTATGAGAAAGTAGAGCATTCCTGTTAAACTTCTCATTAGCGGAAATGGCATTAAAGTTTAAAAGAAATTACCATTAATTTATATGGAAAATGTTCTGACCATTCGTGGACTCAAAATAATTTTTCTTAGAGTTTTCTGATACCTTTCACCATCTTGCTAACATATTCACAACATAAGTTGAGGTGAAAGTTCAGATGCTCACACAGTTCAGATCTGTGGTGGCTTGATGTTGAGTGTAGTTTTGGTGAAAGAGCTGCCCCAGGTGCTTGCTGCCCCTAACAACTTGCTGCAAAACAGATAATAATAATGCTGAGCATTATTTTTGTTTTTTGTGGTTTTTCATAAAAGTGAAAATCTTCTAATTTCTTTCAGTTGTAAAAACAGGTGCTTATGTAGGTCTAAAGAAGAAAATTAAAAAGGAAAACATTGGTCTTGTGAGAACTGTAATGATTTACTCTCTTCACTCTCTTGCACATCATAACAGCAATGTTAGCTTGTATTCCTTGTGTTGTATATTACATTCCTAGTACTGGAGTGTAACTGGAAGTTTATACTTTTCAGCTCACTTTTCTCCAACTCCCTTATCTGCCACATTAAATTCTTCATTGATAGAGTTCTTCTTTGATGTCTTTAAGTGTAGTATTCTCATTTTCTTGTCTAGATCATGTGTATTTTGTGAGTTTTTTCATCAGAGTGCTCCTCAGGCAAACCAGACTCATTATGTCTAGTCCAGTCCTGCTCACCTCCTGCTTATGAGCCTTGTCCTGGGAGGTCTCACTGTCACTCCCATCAGAACCTTAGGAATTCTGTTTCCTTCTCTCCTACCCATTCCTGAATCCTTATTAGTATCCTCTTCATGCGATCAGTCCCTTTGTACATTCTGTCTCCTTAGGCTACTCTGCCCTTTGTACTTTCTCTTTCGTAGCAGTTCCTTTTATACCAGTGGAAGTTGTCACATGATGTGCACCTCCTATTGGAAAACTCTTTGATCACTTTCTACACAGTTAGCCAGGCAAACTCAAGGCTAAGAATACAGAACTCCAAAGACTGTCAGGTCTGCCCAGGTCATCCAAAACCACTGAAATTTCAGAGATTTCCCAAAACTACTCTCAGGTGGAAAAACTCAAAAAACTTCTTAAAGTCTATTAAAGTATATACTCTCAATCATGTTTGTTACAGACAAAGGTACAACTTAGAAGAGGGGCCAGAAGTATTCCAAATAGAAGATTTCCATGTCTTTGGTGACTTGTTACCTGCTGGCTGGCATCCATGTGTGACAATAAGTGCATGGATATTACCAACCCAGGAAATTGGCCAGAGCCTCAGTATCCAGACTTACTGAGCTTTCATTGCATAAGCGTGACTGATTGAATCATTGCCAATGGGACTCCGTCTCTAACCCTTTTTTTCCTTTCTATAGGCACAGGTGATATCTCGTGGCTCAAAGCCCCAACTTTCTAATTATACAGTTGGTTTTTCTGATGTGGCCAGACCTTACTCTGAATCATCTTCTTTAATATAAACTGTATAGCCATGATGAGTTATGTGTTGTCATGAATTATCAGATATATTCCTACATGACCACCGTAAATAACAAAGATGATATATCTATCACTCTGGAAGTATGCAGGGTATAGAGGTTACTTCCTTAGAGCTGGAACAAAGACCAAACTTCTTTTAGGGGAGAATGAGAATTAATCTTGGATTACTTTCTCTCTTCTATCAGGGCTACATTAGGCCCTTTCCTACTGTTCTTATAGCAGTGTCCTCGCCCACAGGAAGTAAAACACAGCATTATTGTGAGTCTTTCCAGCTGCATCCAGTGTGGAAATGTAGTGGTGTCTCCACTTCAGACCCCTTGTCCTATCACCTAGCTTCTCCTGGGTCTCCCTTTCATGGTATCAGCAGTCCAAGGTTCAGGGCATAAAAAGAAATTGGAATCCTTAGATTCAGAGGTAATAATACATAACAGAGACAGGCACTATTTTCACCTATATTTTTCTCACTGAAATGCTGATTTTGGTTTTTTTTTCTATGTTGTCATAACTAACAGGCCATTTTGTGTATTGGGTTTCTTACAGGTGACAAGGGAAAGCCCAAGACCATAGAACTTACCACTTGTGAACCAGCCCTGAATAAGTCCCCTGAGGGGCCCTTATTCCAGGAACTAAAACAGGGAGACCCAGGGAACTTCCAGCTGAGCCAAACCAAGGATCAGGGTGGCCCATCAGAAATGCAGGAAGGACACTTGAGACCAGGGTTAGAACCCCAGAGGGAGAAGCTCCCTGAGAAAACAAGCCCTGAACATGATGGTTTAGGGATAGCTGATGGTGTATGTACTGTCCATAACCATGACTCATGTGGATCAGGTAAAGATTCCATGATTCATGAAGAGGAAAATACGTTTAAGTGCAATGAATGTGGGAAAACTTTTAATAAGAAGCACCTTCTTGCCGGACATGAAAAGATTCACTCTGGAGTAAAGCCCTATGAATGCACTGAGTGTGGGAAAACATTTATTAAGAGCACTCACCTCCTCCAGCACCACATGATCCACACCGGGGAGAGGCCCTACGAGTGCATGGAGTGTGGGAAGGCCTTCAACCGCAAGTCCTACCTTACACAACACCAGCGGATTCACAGTGGAGAGAAGCCTTATAAGTGTAATGAATGTGGAAAGGCCTTCACCCACCGCTCCAATTTTGTCTTGCATAAGAGGAGACACAGTGGAGAGAAATCCTTTGTGTGCAAAGAATGTGGGCAAGTCTTTCGACATAGGCCAGGATTCCTTCGACATCACATCATCCACAGTGCCGAGAATCCCTATGAATGCTTTGAGTGTGGCAAGGTCTTCAAACATAAGTCATATCTTGTGTGGCACCAGCAGACTCACACCGGAGAGAAGCCCTATGAATGCAGTGAGTGTGGTAAAGCCTTCTGTGAGAGTGCAGCCCTCATTCACCACTATGTCATCCACACTGGGGAGAAGCCCTTTGAGTGCCTAGAGTGTGGGAAAGCCTTCAACCACAGGTCCTACCTCAAGAGGCATCAGAGAATTCACACTGGGGAGAAGCCTTTTGTGTGCACTGAATGTGGAAGGGCCTTCACTCACTGCTCTACTTTCATCCTGCATAAAAGGGCCCACACGGGAGAAAAACCCTTTGAGTGCAAAGAGTGTGGGAAAGCCTTTAGCACTAGAAAAGACCTCATTCGACACTTTAGCATCCACACTGGGGAGAAGCCCTTTGAGTGCTCAGAGTGTGGAAAGGCCTTCAACCGCCGCTCAGGGCTCACAAGGCACCAGCGGATTCACAGTGGAGAGAAGCCCTACGAGTGCATGGAATGTGGGAAATCCTTCTGCTGGAGCACAAACCTCATTCGACATGCTATTATCCACACTGGGGAGAAGCCCTATAAGTGCAGTGAGTGTGGAAAAGCCTTTAGTCGCAGCTCCTCCCTCACTCAGCATCAGAGGATTCATACTGGGAGAAAGCCTGTCAGTGCAACGGAAGTGGGAAGACCCTTCTCGAGCGGGCAATCCTCAGTCACCCTACGAGAACTGCTTTTGGGGAAGGACTTCTTGAATGTAACCACTGAGGAGAACCTTTTGCCAGAGAAAACATCAACTACAGCATCTGATCGGACATACCAAAGAGAAACCCCCCGAGTATCTTCACTTTGAGAAGATCTTCCATCCCAGACCATCAGTAGTCCTGTAGAGATGCATTTTAGAGGTTGACCCAGCCCAGAGCCTTACTGTACATCTGAGAATTGATTTGTGAGGGAGAAAGCAGTGTTGATTGTGCATGGAGTAAAACCTTCAGCTACATGTTTCTCCTTAGTTTACACTGCAGTAATATCTCAGGAATTTTTGTTAAAAGAAGGTGGAGATGTAGAATAGCAAATGAAATGAAAAACTTTTGAGACTTCTCTGTCAAGCTTATAGCACTTTGTCATGGATTCTTTAGTTTACTTGGGGTCAGGGGATGTTTCAGAGGCAGTGAGTCTTGACCACCCTGTATGTGTCATGTATATACATTCATTGCTGTCCAGTGTCAGAAGAGTTAGACAATTGCAGACAGGTATTAAAATGATAAGTATACATATAAAAACAGCACATTTTATTGCATTGGTTAAGACTTTAAAGCTTACATATTCAGAAAACAAACTGTTCTTTATATGGTTTTAAACATGAAACAGACTTTTCCAGAATTGTTTTTGATCCAATTTATTTAATTTCTGTAGCTATATGGTAAATCTCAAAATTGGGTAAAGTGATTCCTCTCTCTTTATTCTTATTTAAATTGATTTAGTTTTCTGTAGTTCCTTTGACTTCTCTTATAAATCGTAGGATGCAAAAAATCTTGCATTTTTATAGGAATTGGTTGAAATCTGTAGATCTGTTTGTTGAAAAGCAGCATCATGAACACTGAAAAATGATATACACTTCAGTTATTTAAGTAATTCTTGATATTTCACTACTGTTTTATAATTTTTAATATACAGAGCCTGTACATTTTTGTTAAGAGTTCTATCTAGGGTTTTTTTGTTTTTTGTTTTTGTTTTTGTTTTGAGTGATGGTGTTGATTTTTACACTTATTTTTCCATATGGTCTTTAGTAGTACACAGAAAGATAATTGTTTTTTGGAGTGATATTTTGGCATCCTGCAACCATACTGAACTCACTTTATTTGTAGCCATTTCTTTGAGTAGAATCCTCAGGCTTTTCTGCAAAGATATGTCAGCTGCATAAGAGTCTTACTTCTTCCTTCCCATCTGTATTATGTTACTTTCTTTTCTTACTGCACTAGTGGGCCTTCCAACATGATGTTGAATAGGAGTAATAAGAAAGAATGCCCTTGACTGATCCCTCATATTAGGAGGAAAATGTTCAGGTTTTCATTGGGTAGATATGATGTTAGTTTAAGTATTTTTTTCCGAAGTTTTCTTATCAAGTTTAGAAAATTTCCATCTATTCTTAATTTGCTGAGATTTTTGTTATTATGAATGTTAGATGTTGTCAAATACTTTGCCTCCATCAATTGATGTGATCATCTGATTTCTATAGCCTGTTGATAAAATGTATTATATTGACTAGTTTTGAATATTGAACCAGCCTTGCATCCTTGGAATAAATCCCATTTGGTTGAAGTGTATGAATTTTTTTTGTATATCATATATTAAAACATTCCATTTGATTGTATTTTGTTGAGGAAGTTTTCCTCTAATTTCTTTTTTTTCTTTTTTTTTTTTTTTTTTTTTAAGATTTTGTTTATTCGTGAGAGGCAGAGACATAGGCAGAGGGAGAAGCAGGCACCTCACGGGGAGCCCGAGGCAGACTCAATCCTGGACCCCTGGGATCATGCCCCAAGCTGAAGGCAGACGCTCAACCACTGTGCCACACAGACGTCCTTCTAATTTCTTGAATTCAGAATAATTTTGATGTTGGATACATTTGATAGTTTGAACTTTGTCCTGTTCGAGGAATTGTTCCACTTCATCTAAATTTTCTGGTTAGTTAATAAACTTGTTTGAAATATTTCCTTATTACCATTTTAATGGGAGCAGTATCTGTACTTATAATATCCCATTTGATTCCTGATTTTGGAAATATGTTCACTCTTTGTTTTATTTTTGCCCATTTTCTTAGGCATTTATCAATCGTACTAATCATTTTGGAGAACTAGCACTTTATTTCATTTGTTCTTTTGTTCCCTATTGCTGTTGATAATTTCACTAATTTCTGTTCTGATCTTTATATCTTCTCCTTTACCTTGGTTGTATTCTAACGTAAGCATTTAGTACAATAATGTTTCCTCACAGCATTGTGACTTCATCCTGCAAATTTTCATTACAGTTTATTCAGCTCTAATGATTCTTGATTTCTTTAGAAACTCTAATGGGTTCATAGATTATTGTTTAGTTTTCTAGTGTTCTGGAGTATTTTCCTTATCTTTTGATTTCTAGTTTATGTTTGGTATGTTTAAATTTGTTAAAGTATTTATGACCTAAGATACAGCCTAATTTATTGAATATCCTAAAAGACCTCCTGAAAAGAATTTGTGTTCTGCTGTCATTGAGTGGAGTTTCTGTAAATGTGTTGTGCCCAAGATTGTGGAGAAACCACCAAGGAGCCGACACCGATGCAAACGCACGAGGGTTTATTTACAAGCTTGAGCTTGCGTCCAAGTATACCCAACACAACAGACCAGGGGCTTGGACCCGAGGTTAAGAGGTGTAGCAGTTTTATAGGGGCCAGTGGCCAATGAGGATTATAACCTACAGAAAGTTACATGGTCATGTCGGTCCACAAGCAGGTGACCAACTGAATTACGATTCACCCTCTAGGGTCCGTTTGAACTAGCCTGTTATTCTGGTCAGAATTGGCACGCGAGTTTGGTGGGCAAAGGGCGGGGTTTATATTCTTTGGTGGTTGGGTGTTCCACATTCCTATATGAGCCCGTGGCTTGTCTAGAGTGGGGGAGTGGTTTCTTCCTGTAACAGGGATGGTGTTCAGTTCTTGGTCTGAGATGGCTGACAAAGTATAATATTAAACCCAACGCCCCAGTTTCTCAGCCTTCACAGTCTGGACAGTCCTCTTGGTAGTAGTCAAATTTTCTATATCCTTACTGACCTAAACTGTTTAGTATTTTTGTCACTTCCAAAGAGAGGGATGATGAAGTTCTGATGTATAGCTGTCCTGAAGTATAACTGTTCATCTTTTGAATTCTATCATTTTCTATTTCGGGTATTTTATTTTTTTTTTTAAAGATTTTATTTATTCATGATAGAGAGAGGCAGAGACACAGGCAGAGGGAGATGCAGGCTCCATGCTGGGAGCCTGATGCGGGACTTGATCCTGGGTCTCCAGGATCGTGCCCTGGGCCAAAGGCAGGCGCTAAACCACTGAGCCACCCAGGGATCCCTGTTTCGGGTATTTTAAAGCTGATTTTTTTTTAATTTTTATTTATTTATGATAGTCACACACAGAGAGAGAGAGAGACAGAGACATAGGCAGAGGGAGAAGCAGGCTCCATGCACCGGGAGCCCGACGTGGGACTTGATCCCGGGTCTCCAGGATCGCGCCCTGGGCCAAAGGCAGGGGCTATACTGCTGCGCCACCCAGGGATCCCTGTTGTTTGGTGCACTAAATGGTTCACATTTAATATTGGTATGTTAACCCTTTCATTAAGTAATATCCTTTTTGTTCCTGTTCATTTTCTTGCCTTTGAAGCATACTTTGAGTGATTAATATGGTCCCTACTGCATGTTTTGATTAATATTTTGCATGGTTTATATCTTTTTAATTTTCTTTTTTTTATATTTTTTTCTTTATTTATTTATGATAGTCACAGAGAGAGAGAGAGAGAGGCAGAGACACAGGCAGAGGGAGAAGCAGGCTCCATCCACCGGGAGCCTGACGTGGGATTCGATCCCGGGTCTCCAGGATCGCGCCCTGGGCCAAAGGCAGGCGCCAAACCGCTGCGCCACCCAGGGATCCCTCTTTTTAATTTTCAACCTTATCTGTATCATTATATTTGAAGTAGTTTCTTATAACAGCATATAGTTGGGTCATACTTTACTTTTTAATCCATTCTTGCTTATTTTTATCTTTTAATTGGTAGGTTTACATGAAATTTGTTTTTTGTTTGTGTTCCCTTTATATTGTACGTCTTGTTTTCTGGTTGTTTTTGTTATTTTGCTTTTCTGTTTTGTGTTTGTTATTTTGCTTTCCTGTAGGTTACTTCAGCATTTTTTAGATTTCCATTTGATATAACATTTTTGAGTGTTGTCTTAATTTTTTTATTCTAAGTATTATACATATCACAGTCTAATATCAGCATTTTAGCACTTTGATGTATAGAAACCTTAATTCCATTAGATTCCTTAACATTTTCCATTTTTATTCTAAGTATTTTCTCTTTATACATGGAGCACTATGTTGGATGTTATAATTTGTGCCCCACCTGTCAAAAGATTTTCTACAAAATTCATGAAGTGTATGGTCTGTTTACCTCTATTATTAACCATTCCGTTCTTTCTCCCTTCCTGAAGACCCAGGCCTTCTGTTAACATTTCCCTGCAAATTTCCTGTACCCTTTCTTCTGAGGTAGGTCTGCTGTTGACAAAGGACTTTGTTTTCCTTTATCTAAAAAGGTTTCTATGTCCCTTTCATCCCTGAAGGATGTTTTTTGTGGGATAAAAAACTTGGGGTTTACAGTTCTTATAGTAGAAGAGAAACATGTTACCTCCCTCTGTCCTCCTGATTTCAGATGAGAAACCTGTTATTCACCATTGTTACCCTGTCTGTAGTGCATCCTTTCTGTCAAGGACTTTTACGGTGTTTTTATCTATAGATTTCATCAGTTTTTTGTGTTGTGCTTTTGGCTTTCTAGTAAGGTTTTTTTTTTCTTTTTTCTTTTTAATTTGAGAGAGTGCAAGCACATGAGTGAGGGGAGGGGCAGGGCAGAAGGAGAAGTAGATGCTCTTGCTGAG